TCCCCATTGAGAAACTCATGCATGAACAGGACGTGATGTAAATCACATCCTGTTCATTCATTTCTAACTGGGGACACATAGTACTATGTGTCCCCAGTTATTTACAAACACTGGAGTGATCAGACGATCGCTCCAGTGTTCGTCCTGCACAGAGAATTGGTACATACTAGTGACATCCTCTGCCGCTCGTACTCGCACAAGGGGGCTCAGCTTCTCCTCTGGATCCCCCTGCTCTCCCGGGCAGAGGCAGTGGAGGATCCGACGAAAAGTGAAAGAGCACTTTAGCCGCGGGGGGGTGTCGGAGCCGCTGTGACAGAACGGAACTGGTAGATCGCGATCGACCTCGTGGGCACCCCTGATCTAAGAGAAAGGGTAAGTAGTTTGGATATCTCTTCTGGAGTGAGGTGTTGTAAGCAACATGCCCGTTCCGCGCGTGCGCCATGTCCCGCTAAGAAGAAAAACACACGCATGCGCACAACGAGCATTTCCCATTGAAAGACGCGCAGTATGGCGCACCGTAAGTGACACGCATACGGCGCGAGTTCCAAGAAAAACGCGCCAAAGGCGCACAGGAAGTGACGTAAATGATTACCTCACCTATATAAACCGAACCAGCATGTCTCTTAAATTGCTGAATTGTCTTATCAGCTCCTGTCTGTGTTGTGTATCCTGTTTCCTGTCTTGAATATTAGATCACCGTCTGCTGGATTTTGACCTTGGACTGTTTTTGGATTACTCTTCTGCCTCTTCCTTTGGTACTGCATATGACCTCCTGGATTTTGACCTCGGCTTGCCTCAACTTTGCTTTCTGGATTACCCTTCAACTTGCACGGTTTCACAACCACTGGCACTCGTGCCACTCAGTGTCTGCCTGGCCTCTCTTACCATCCTCAAAGGCCATAAGACACGAGGTGCAAGGGAAGCCTCCTCAACCATCCAGTCTCCCAGACCAGGTTCGGAATAGTTGTATATTCAAGCCTGTCCCATTTTCAAGAATATGGAATCTTGATTTGGCATGAGGAACAGTTTATACCATAAGGAGAAGACATTTTTGGCAGGTCCTGATTTTGAGCACTCCTGTTAATACAGTGCTATAGGTCAGTCCTTAGCTGTGGCCGTGTAATGCTCTGGACTACAAATCCCAGAGACGTCAAGCCTATCTCAAGGATGAGCCTAGCTGTAAAGCTTGGCAAAACTTTAATTTCTATTTGTTTTCTGTTCTTGCAGTAAACTTCAAGGAAACTGACCCAGTAGCATTAAAAGTACTTTACTTGGTGAAAATGCTGCGTGTACAAACTTGGTTACAGGAAAAGCAAACAAATAAACAATACATACTGCTACAAACATTTGCATGCACCCACTACACTATCTTCTAGTACATGTAATTTCTAGGAGGGGAAACACTGAAAATGTACTTAGCTCAGGCTGCAGGCTCCACAAATTCCGCGATGAGCAGGACTTCTCAGTCTAGGAAAAATGGCTTCTCTGCTAAATCCTTTGTATGTCCTGGTCATGAAGCAAGTCCTCTCGTCTTGTGAAGCGCCCTCGTACTGTCCCCCTCCTGTGAAGCCCTGGTCTGGTGAAGTGCTGTGCTTCAAACTTTCAGCTACTGGCTTTTTATTGAGAGAAAACTGGCCTAAAACTTTGGAAGCGCCGCCCCTTTCACCTTTAGGAAAATGCAATACATTTCACTTTCCCACCTCTAGGTGGCAGCGTTGTACCATAAATTGCCATCAGTAGTCCAGATTTGATTTGAGTCTTGACCAGGCTAGGTGTGACTGTTTACGATCACCATCCCATTGTGATACGAATCAATACAGGACAAGCTTCACCATTGTGAAAAAACAGTTTGGTTTGTTTAGGTGGCACCTTCCATTGTATGAACCCAGTTTTCTATCAACAAACAAACAAAACCTCCATCTCTATTGCAAATCTATGTGTGTCTGAAAAAGTCCACTAAGATATATCGCAACACAGGCCGTAACTGGTGAAGAGAGGAAGTGTGATAACTCTCTCCATCTCCAGTGTCTCAAGGGTGCAAGGCCAGGATCCACAGGCATGTCCTTAAAGGTAAATTCCACCTTTTGCAAAAAATAAATAAATAGTAATAATAATAAATGCAAATGTTTTCATAAAGAAAAACATTTGAATTCTTTTTTTGCATAGGAGCCAGTAAAACATTGTAATGGGTGGAATGCTCTGGCTTCTGCAGACTGTTCCCCCATTCATGTCCGAAACTAGATATGGACATGCAGTAACATTGATGGGAACAAGTGTCGATGGACTACATTGAAAATAATCAAGTCCCCCTGCCAGAGTGGCTGATGGGGCTTAAAGTTTCTCCATTCACAGACCCTGTCAAAGGATTTTTGAATGTATGACGCGGCCGTGTGGGGGAAGCCACACACAGTCACGCTGAATTCAAATAACAGCAGCAGTTTGCAGGGAGATGAACCTCATAATTCAGGTAAGTGGAGGCCAAGACGAGGGTCTAAAAACTGACCATGTTTTATGTTACTCTAAATATATGTGTAACATGAACCATGGTCAGAAATGTGCACTTAGCCTCTAAGTGACAGCCACATTGAACTGTTCATGAAATGTTTACTAAGGTGTTGGAGTTTACTAAGGTGTTGGAAGTTACTGCTTTCCCTGATGCTTGCTGGAGATTGATGCTGGGAGCTATAATTTCTGGCTCTGACATTTTCCATGGTTTATCATTGCTGGCCCTGACACTTGCTGGGAGTTATTGCTGGAATATTTTACTGGCTCTTGCTGGAGATTATCATTGCTGGCCCTGACACATTAGGGATTATCATTGCTGACATTGACACCAGGCTTATTTTACTCCCACAGATTCTTCAGTGTACCTCTAGGCCCAAGGTGGCACACAACAAGCCATACACTGTGACCAACACCTACTGTATTGGCCACACCCACTTTTTTGACCATGACCTTAAGTGTGCTGTGGCATTTTTGTTCCCAATCCCTTCAAGGCAGGCAACAGCGGTCCACGTAGTACACCACATTTTTCTTCTCAATCCCTTCAAGGTGACACTCCTAACTCTTTTCAAATGTTGGCAACTATGGTTTACTTTTATGCCCACTGACACCAATTATAGAACAGATTTTTCCACTTACTGACCAGCAATGTGTTTGAAAGGGGCTACAGTATGTGTTTCTATTACCTTGCAAATAGTTTTTATTGAACATTGCATCTTTCATTTTCTGACTAAGCATTTCTCCTTATGTTATGTCTGCTTTAATTAATACAAGGGATTTGTACAAGGGACAATTAATAGAAGGGAAATTTGTACAATTAATACAAGGGAAATGTCTGGACCAACCTTGTCTTTATCTTGGCTGGAGCCCTCCTCTAATATGCTTGTATTCCTTAATTGCACTAATTGTAGACTATATTTATGATTTATTTAAATGGCAGTGGCTATTAAATTAAATACTCTGGTACTCACCAGTTGAGTGACCACGGTCTGCTGTGTAAAATTGGTCCTCAGTGTTCAGAAGCTTTTATTTAGAAATACCATGCAACAGTACTGTTATTTACATATTTACTCAAATAACAAAGCATTTTATAAATAAAATGTATTCCTATGTGTGACGGCAATGCCTGTACCCTGACTGGGTACGGCATCAGAGATAGCTCCCTGTGTGCTGAAACTAACTGGCAGAGCTGATTATAGCAGAAACATTACCCTAAACATCAGACAGAACCAATGTTAGGGTAAAACAGGAACTCCTTTATTGAACAAACAGCACACATTTTATAGCCCACAGAGCTCACCTCCTCCAGGTAAGGTTAATTTTTTAAAATAAAATTAACATTTCTGAACATCAGTCCAAACTAACTTAGGGGAAATAGGGTAACGATAAAGGGATTGGAGATAAAGGGATTAGCAGGATGATCACATCAGCAGGCTTTTCAGGGAGGGGGAGAGATGTACTTATCTCTGCAAAGACTCCATTGTGTGTGGAAGTCAGGTCACTATGTCGCCCAGAAAAAGGGACCCTGCGTGGCTCCGAAACTTTGGCTGTTTGACGCATGTGACAATTTAATAAAAAGTGCTTTACTTCTTGCACATATCATCGAGTGCTGGTGACTTCTATTATGGAAATCAGTCTAGACTTAGTGGTGCCAGCGGGACATAGGACATAAAATTTCTGATCGAGAGTTCTTTAAGATTGGTAAGT